GGAACAACAAAATCTATTCTGTCCCCCTTCATCTCTCTAAAATCTATAAAATAAATTACTTTTTAAAACTCAACAGTAGCCCTAGCCAACTTGGCTCAGTGGATATAGCGTCAACCTGCGGACTGAGGGTTCCCAGGTTCAATTCCGGCCAAGGGCACATGCCTGGGTTGTGGGCTTGATCCCCAGTGGGGAGCATGCAGGAGGCAGCCAATCAATGATTCTCTTCATTGATGTTTCTCTCTCTCCTCCCTTCCTCTCTGAAATCAATAATAAATATATTTAGAAAAACTCAATAGTAAAATAATAAATAAAAAAATAGGCAAAAAAAAAAACACCAAAATTTTATCAAAGAGAATTTACATATGGCAAATGTATATATATGAAAATATTTTTTAGCCCTAGCTAGTTTGGCTCAATGGATAGAGCATCAGCCTGCAGAATGAAGGGTCCCAGTTCAATTCTAGTCAAGGGCACATGCCTGGGTTGTGTGCTCAATCCCCAGTGGGGGACATGCAGGAGGCAGCCAATCAATGATTGTCATCATTGATGTTTCTATCTCTCTCACCCTCTTCTTCTCTGAAATAAATATTAATAAAAACATTTTTTAAAATTTTAGCATCATTAACTATTAGTGACTAATGAGATCAGAAAGGTTAAAATGAAAAATAGTGACAACACAAAATGTTGATAAGTATGCAGAGAAATAGATCACTCATACATTGCTGGTGGTATTTAAAATGATACAGCCACACTAGAAACTAATTGGCAGTTTCTTATATAAAAAAAAAAAAATCAAAGCCATATGAAAAAAATCTTAAAAGGTTATAGGCTATATGATCTCATAATATTTTTGAAATGACAAAAAATTGGAAACAGAACAGATTAGTGCTTGCTAGGAGGGAAAAGGTGTAGGTGATATAAAAGGACAACAGAAAGCATCCTTGTTATAGAAATGATCTGTATCATTGTTAGTGAATACACAAAGTTGGTGAATATACAAAGTTACATATATGATAAAATTATAGAGTGTAAGTTACATTGCATAAAGAGTCCACATGTTCTCTATTCTCTAGAGGCCCAGTGTATGAAATTCATGCATGGGGGGTGGGGGGACCCCCTCAGCCCAGCCTGCACTCTTTCCAATCTGGAACTGTTGGTTCCCAACCGCTTGCCTGCCTGCCTGATTGCCCCTAACTGCTTCTGCCTGCCAGCTTGATCACCCCTAACCAATCCCCTGCCAGCCTGATCAATGCCTAACTGCTCCCATGCTGGCCTGATTGCTCCTAACTGCCCTCCCCCAACTGCCCTCTCTTGCCAGCCTGGTTGCTCCTAACTGCTCTCCCCTGCCAGCCTACCCTGCTGGCCCAATTGTCCCTAACTGCCCTCCCCTGAAGGCCTGGTACCCCTCAACTGCCCTCCCCTGCAGGGTTGGTCACCCCCAACTGCCCTCCCCTGCCAACCTGGTCACTCCCAACTGCCCTCCCCTGCAGGCCTGATCACCCCTAACTGTCCTCCCTTGCAGGCCTGATCACCCCCAACTGCCATCTCCTGCTGGCCTGGTCACCCCTAACTTCCCTCCCCTGAAGGCCCGGTTCCCCCACAACTGTCCTCCCCTGCAGGCCTGGTTGCCCCCAAATGTCCTCCTCTGCCGACCTGGTCACCCCTAACTGCCCTCCCCTAAATGCCTGATCACACCCAGCTGCCCTCCTTTGAAGGCCTGGTCCCTCCCAAATGCCCTCCCCTGCTGTCCTGATTGCCCACAACTGCCCTCCCCTGCAGGCCATCTTGTGGTGGCCATCTTGTGTCTACATGAGGGCGGCCATCTTTGGCCACATGGGGGTGGCTATCTTGTGTGGTGGAGTGATGGTCAATTTGCATATTACCTCTTTAATATATAGGATATAAATTTATATTATTAAAATTTTAAATTAAAAAAGATAATACTCAAAAAATTCTAAACTTATTGTGATCATTGTACAATACATACTTAAATCATATATCTAAAACAAATATAATGCTATATGTCAATTACAGGGTTTGGTAAAAGTAGATTTACATATGTGAGTTTATCTTGGTGAATACACAAAGTTACAGTGGAGGGAGGACATGCAGGAGGCAGCCAATCAATGATTCTCAGGCCCATTGAGAACTAGAGGCCCATTGCACATATTCATGCACTGGTGTGGTCCCTCAACCTGACCTGCAGGGATCAGGTTGAACCCAGCTCTCTGACACCCCCCAAGGAGTCCCAGATTACCCTCCCCCATCTTGGGTGACACACCCTGGAATCAGACTCCCTCTTTCTGGTTCCAGGTGCATCACCTGAAAACCACAGATGCTCCTGCATTGAGCATCTGCCCCCTAGTGGTCATTGCATGTCATAGCTACTGGGCAATCGCTTAGGCTTTTATATATCTTGTATTATTTATTAACTAGAGACCCAATGCACAAAATTCATGCAAGTGTAGGCCTTGCTATAAAAATAATAATTGAGGGCTGAGATTGCAAGGTAACCAAAATACCCTGAAATCTAAGAAAAGACAAACACATCAAAGTAGAGGCAGGACATAAGTACTGGCTTACCTGAGCAGATACCATCAAATGCTATATAATCTGATAATAACAACAAAAATCACCTAAAAGTTGTATCAAAAGGCTAAAGGCTGAAGAGCTGAGAATGTAGAATCCCTGGGAACACTAGAGAAATCTGCAAACACTTACCGGCTCTTCTCCATAGACTGGATCCGGGCATCAGTACTTCACAAAGAAGATGTGGGGTGCAGGATAAGGATTCTAAGGAAGCCATCCTTCAATGGTGGCAGATACAAGAAAAGCGAAGAGCCCTCCCCACCTACCCCTCACCCCCAAATCTTTCTCCCCTATCTTCCCTAAAGAATATAAGCCTTGCCTTTGCCAGTTTGGCTCAGTGGATAGAGCGGTCCCAGGTCGATTCCCGCACTATCCGGGCTGGTGCAGGAAGCAACCAATGCATGTGTTTCTCCCACATGATGTTTCTGTCTTCCCCCTCTCTGCCACGCTCCCTAGAAATCAATGGGCAAAGATCCTCAGGTGAGGATTAACAACCACGACAAAATACAAACCTCACCTTTAAGGCTCTGATGAAGAGCCAATGCTGCTGGGGGGGGGGGGGGGGGGGGGGAGGAAATGCATCTCAGGTGCAGACTATCAAAGGTGCTGGGGGTGAGGAAGGATAAGGGAGAAGGTCCCGCCCTGATGTCCAAGGACATAGTGCCTGCCTCTGAGGCTGAATTAGGACAGCAGAGAATGCCCCTCTGCACTTCCTACCACAGTAACAAAAGCAGTCAAAGAGGAATGTATTCGAATGGCACACAAGTGCTACAGATGTCCAACATTCTCCATTAGGGAAATGCAAATTAAAGTGTCAATGATACCACACACTTCTTAGAATGGCTAAAATTAATTTTTTTTTTTTTTTTTTTTTTTTTTTTTTTTTTACAATCCCAGTGCTTGCAGGAATCTGACTGACCCAACCATCACTCTCACACACTGCCCATGTAAACTCAAAACTGGACAGTTTGTCAGTTCGCCATAAAGTTGAATGCACACTTGCCACCCCACCTAGCATTCCCACTCTCAGTATTTAGCCAACTTAAATAAAAACATATGTTCACACACAAAAACAAACAAACCACTCTACATGAATGTTCATAGTGGTTTTACTCATAGCCATCCAAACTGGAAGAAACTCAACTGTCCCTTAGCTGAGGAATGGATCAACAATACCGTACATCCATTCAATGAAACACTACTCAGCAATAAAAAAGGAACAATACATGTAATAGCATGATTGAATCTCAGACACATGATGCTAAGTGTAAGAAGCCAAAAACAAAAGGTTATATACTAGATGGTTCTATTTATACAATATTCTTATAAAGGGAAAACATTTAAGGACAGAGAACAGACCAGGGGTTTCCAGACATGACTCTAAATAACTGAGAAGGCTAACCTCTGTTTTATAAAACTACTGTTTGAAATTCTATGAAATATAAAATATAAAAATAACTTTGCTTTCTAGCCTGCTTGCATAATAAGGAAGATAAACTTAGCTGTCTGACCTTGTAGGCCAGAGACTAGATACGCCCATACTCTCTTGCCATGCCAGGTGTATTTTTTAATCGGATAGAACAGTGTTGTTTTCAAGACCACAAGCTTCCAACGAGATAACCGCTAAGCACACATAGGGCTAGTTCTTTAATTAAAAAGAAAAATTCTGCTTAGAATTTGAATTCATTTTTCTCGAAGCCCACCAGACTCTCCAAGTGTTGCTTGGTGTGTGTGTGTGTGTGTCCCCGGTCTTCTTCAACATAACGACTGAAATAGTTGCAGAATATCAGCATCTTCAGAAAGTGTTAGGAACGAATCAAGTCACAATGTCCGCTGAGTAGTAGGAAAACCAGTTTCTGCCCCTCTCTGAATCATAATCCCATGATCCAGATCAAGGCCTAATGAAATTCCAACAGGCAAGTGTGCAGGAGAACATCTGAACACTGGTCAAAACAAGAGAGGCTTGCCGAAGCCGCCGGTTTGGCTCAGTGGATAGAGCATCGGCCTTCGGACTGAAGGGTCCCAGGTTCGATTCCGGTCAAGGGCATGTACCTTGGTTGCAGGCACATCCCCAGTAGGGGGTGTGCAGGAGGCAGCTGATCAGTGTTTCTCTCTCATCGATGTTTCTAACTCTATCCCTCTCTCTTCTTCTCTGTAAAAAAAAATCAATAAAAATAAAATTTAAAAAATAAAAAACAAGAGAGACTCTTGCCCCCCGGGCACCTGGGGCGCCTGGCAGCCTCACCATTTCCCCGCAGGCCAGCCACGCAGCCCCGCCGGTCCCAAGGGACCTCTCCGCCCGGGAGAGCAATTCCCGAGACTGCGACGCGGGCAGGCGGCGGGCGCGGCTGCGGGGCCTCCAGGAGGTGCGCGCGGATCCGGCGATCGGGACGGACGGACGGACAGGCGCTCGCTGCGGCCGGTGTGAGCGCTGCCGCCCCGGTGCCCGCAGGGCGATGGCGAGGCTGCGGGACTGCCTGCCCCGCCTGCTGCTCGCGATCCGGTCCCTGCTCTTCTGGTCCCTGGTCTACGGCTACGGCGGGCTCTGCGCCTCCGCCCACCTGCTCCAGCTCCTGTGGAGCCTCGGCCGGGGCCCCGCGCGCACCTTCCGGCGGGGCGCGCGGGGGCACCCGCCCCGGTGCCTGAGCGACCCCTCCCTGGGCACCCACTGCTACGTGCGCCTCAAGGTGAAGGCCGGGCCGCGGGCGGGGCGGGAGGGAACGGGGCTCCGGGGAGAGCGGAGGGCTCGGGGCTGCACCTTCCCAGGCGTCCGGCCCGGCGTCCCCTGGTGGATCCGGGCTCGCAGGGGACGCGGTGGGGACCACCAAGACGCCAGAGGGAGGCCAGAGGGGAGAGGTGTGGCCGCAGAGTGTTTACGTCCTCTGTTTCTTGTGTGTGGGTGTGGGGTGGGGGTAGGGGGTGAGGAGGGGGAGGAGGAGAAGGGAGGAGGAGGAATAGGTTAAATGGGAAGGGGAAGCTGTCTCCCTTACCCTTTTTGCCCTTTAGAGCTCAGATCGGCTGTAGGGGAATTGTTCCAGGTGGCGCCCTAAAGACTCAGGAGTCTGTCCTTGCCCAAATGACAGACTAAGAGAGCAAATAGAATAAGTCGTTGGAAATCAGGAGTTTATTCAGATCAGCAGAATAAAACATTCACAGATGACCGAAGCGGCATGAAATCATTAGTAAGTGGTGTATGTTTGTGGACAAGGAAGCCAACTAATGAGCTTAGAGTCCAGAGGAGTGGAATTAAAAGTAAGTGCCTACCATGCATGCAGACTCATCCATGTCCGCGCTGGTCCCAGGGCTCCTCGCAGCCACGATGTTCTGTTTCCTGAGGCTTCAGGCGGGGCCCTTTGCAATGCACCCTACAGTTTGACTCGCAGGCGATTCAAAACCAGCTTCAAATGAGGGGACATGTGTGTCACCACGTGGAGGATTCCTGTTAGGAGCTAGATTATCCGGCAGCTGGAGTCCAGAAGGCCAAGGGGTATGCCTCTCTTGCCTTTATTCAGCCCATGACATCATTAAAGAGTTCAGATTTGTGAAACAACCACCAAAAAGACCAATGTCTGGCCCTAGCTGGTTTGGGTCCGTGGATAGAGCATTGGCTGTGGACTAAAGGGTCCCAGGTTCAACCCTGGTCGAGGGCATGTACCTTGGTTGCAGACTCCTTCCCTGCCCAGGCCCTGGTAGAGGGCCAGGCAGGGCTCATGCAGGAGGTACCAATTAATGTCTCTCTCACATCGATGTTTCTCTCTGTCTTTCCCTCTCTCTTCCACTCTCTCTAAACATCAATGGAAAATATCCTCTGGTGAAAATTGAAAACAAAAACAAACAAACAAACAAACAAAAAACAGTGTCTGGCACTTGGTAAGTGCAGTAAAGTAATTTGTTCACTAAATTCAATCAAGTGCCCACAGTATTTTACCTTCCATGACTCACCACCAAGAAAAGAAGTTACTGTGCTAGGAAGGCATTCTGCAGTTGAGGGCAAAGTCAGATTTAAAGTCAGATTTACTTTCTTCATTCTACATGAGGAGAAAAAGTAGTGTAAAACTCATCTGAAATGCCTTTCTTCTCACTGGCCATCTAAAGGGTTTCCCAGAGACACAGACCAAGGAGTGGAAGACATTGTCCTGGTAGGTTCTAGCCACAGCCCTCTTCCTAACCAATGTCATGATCTGTGTTACCATCTTTGGTCCTCGGTTTCTAAATCTGCAAAAATGATGGGGTTGGGTTAGATGCCTTTTAAGATTTTTTCATATCTGAAAACCCAAGTACTTGGGTAACCTGATATAATGCCAGTGTCTGTGCCCAGCTTTGGGTTCTTGCTTTCTTTTCTCAGTTCTTTATGAGTTTTTGTTTCTCTTTCTTGCTTTTTACATCCACTCTTCTCCCTTTGGTTTGCTTTGATTCACTGTATTCCTGTCTCATTCCCATGCTTTTTATTTCCCTGGGCAGTCTTGTCTCCCACATGCAGAGTGAAGACTTGGGGACTCAGAGCGTTCTGCTATTACAAATACACAGAGATGACATGAGGAGCAAGCAGCATGCTACTCTCAACTTAAAATAAAAATGTGGGAAGGAGAGGACTAAAAATAAGGAAGGAAGGTGTGAATTACATAACTGATGGCATAGCTCTTGACGGGCAAGCTGAGAAAAGTACTTGAGTAGGGGGTAAACATGGCAGGAATATAAATTCAAATCGGAATTATTTACACATCCTATAAAAATAGAATGAGATGAGATGTGACACAGCAGTAAAATGAAAGTCACAAATTGTGACATTGTTTCAGAAGCTGGTAATATGTAAACTGACTTTGTCAGTAGAAGAAGGGAAGGTACCATAAAGGGAATGTTGACAAAGTAAGTCTGTCAATTCATCCTACTGATAAATCATAAAGTTTTTTTCTCTTTGAAAAGTAATATTTATTTTATTATTTTTTAAAAGGTGTTTTGTGTTGTTAATCCTCACCCGAGAATATTTTTCCATTGATTTTTAGAGAGAGTGAATGGGAGGGGAAAACAGAGCAAGAGAGAGACACACGATGTGAGAGAAACACATCGATTGGTTGCCTCCTGCACGCACCCACCCAGCCTGGGATCCAACCTGCTGCCAAGGTACATGCCCTTGGACCAGAATCGAACCCAGGACTATTCATTCTGCGGGTTGATGCTCTGTCCACTGAGCCAAACTGGCTATGGGATCTTTATTTCTTGATATTAAAAATAATGCAAGTGAGTGTGTGTTTTTATGAAATGGAAATACTAACTACTACTTTAACAACATACATCATGACTTAAACTTCATGTTTTCTACTGCAGGATTCTGGACTGAGATTTCATTATGTTGCTGCTGGAGAAAGAGGCAAACCACTCATGCTGCTACTTCATGGATTTCCAGAATTCTGGTAAACTTACAAATTTAATGCTTTTTTTTTTTTTTTTTAGCATTAAATACTTTGCTTATCAGAGTGCCATACATACAGGGACTTTATTAAGAAACTTGAGGCCTGGTGCAAAAATTCCTGCATTGGTGGGGTCCCTCAGGGGGGCTTGCAGGGATCAGGCCTCAGCTCGTGCCCCCAGCCTCGCAGCCCTGAAGCCCCACCTGGCACCCCACCATGGCCTGGCATCACCCCCTCATCTGCTCCACTATCTCACCTGCCTATCAGGTGATCAATCAAGGCTGCCCCCCTCCAGCCCCCCCGCCCTGGCTCCCTCAACATCTGGGAGCCACATAGTGGCACCGCCCGCTGCCACCGCGGCTGGTCACTATCTGCCGGGTGATCGGCCCCCATTCACACCCACCTGTTCTGCCATTCTGCCATGGTCCCATTCTCATTGGGACCCATCAGGACCCATTGGCACTGGCAGCACCTCCACTGCCACCTGCTGCCAGTATTGCTGTGTTCCTCGCCACTTCCTGGTGGTCAGCGCACATCATAGTGAACAAATTCCTGGTCAAACAATTTGCATATTAGGCTTTTATCATATAGGAGCTTTGATGATGCTAGTGCACTAGGCATTGAAGAAAAGAATGGAGGATGGCAAAAAACAAACAAACAAACAAACAAACAAAAACACCATTCTTCCAAAGTAAAAAAGACTATGGATGCCTTATCCTGAGAAGATTTTCCCCAAATAAGATTTTTCTCCACTCTGGATTTTCCTGCATAAATAAACATAAGTTATTTCCATGTTAACTTTTTATTTTCTTTCATCTGGAGACAATTGGGTGGTAAATAGCCCATGCAAATCAGCATGTGTATGTAGGTCCAGCTATAAAATGTAAGTCTGAAGCATTAGTCAGATCTGCATAAAGTAACATGGGCAGTGACTTCTGCCTCAGTCACTTACTTGCTGCATCATTTAAAAAATACTGTGAGTTGATGCCAGCAATTTCTTCGGTCATCTTCATCACCAGCTGTATGGAACGCGTTTGTCATTATTCAAGTGCACAGGCAAACGAGGGCTCTTCGTCCGCACAGCTGAGCACAGAGGCTGATGACTGCTGGCCTCTGTTGTGAGGGGGAAAGGATGGTCTGCATCTGAAAACGGCCAGCCTGGGAAACCAGAGCCCTCCTTACGTTAAGAGCAATAACTAGGAAAGAGGTTTCTTAAAAAGAGTTCTCTGCTTTTCCCAAAAGCTTAAAAAAAAATGTGGGTGAAATAGTTTATTTTGTCTATTTATAATATTTCCAGGAGTTACAGATTTTGCAATATGTCTCATTCTTGTATCAAAGGGGTTGTTTTTGTTTTAATTATATCTAATCACTGATGTGATTTCTTTTTCAGTTTGAAGTGTAAGTCAATTATGCTTTATTTATGAACTCTAGGAAGATTACATTTATAAATTATTTTTCTGAAGTTTATTAAAATAGCAGTTGTGCTATTTCTTTTTTTTAAAATATATTTTATTGATTTTTCACAGAGAGGAAGAGAGAGGGATAGAGAGTTAGAAACATTGATGAGAGAGAATCATCGATCAGCTGCCTCTTGCACACCCCCCACTGGGGATATGCCCGCAACCAAAGTACATGCCCTTGACCGGAATCGAACCCGGGACCTTTCAGTCCCCAGGCCAATGCTCTATCCACTTGAGCCAAACCAGTCCCGGCGCAGTTGTGCTATTTCTTAGAAATGTTTAAGATATTGTTAACTCCATTCATTGATAATGGCAATAGTTAAATTTATTTGTAAGGCTATTTTAATTATTAATATGAGAATGCAGGTGTTATGTTTGCATAGTTTCTAATACAATTTTAAATGTAAAGTATTGTGAGATTATAAACATCTTTAATCAAATTTCTACCTTGAAATCTCTATTTAAGTGAATTCTGAATGAAAACACAGATACTTAAGATATTAAAACAATGCACATTTTATTTATTTATTTATTTATTTATTTTATTTACTTTTGTCTGTCAAAAAATTCCCCCATCATGAATTTATTCTAGTTATTTGCTATAATGAGATTTAATGTGCACATTCACCTTCAAAAATGCTAATCACTTAAAAATATGGCACTACTCTATTAACAAACAAGGGTTACACATCTACAAGAAGGAATCAACATATGGTAAGAGATACAAATGTCATAACTCTATAATGATCATAGGATGTCCCCAAAATGACTCAGTACTGAGCTCCTTGGTTACCCTTATCTTCTTCTTCTTCTTCTTCTTCTTCTTCTTCTTCTTCTTCTTCTTCTTTTTAATAAATCTTTATTGTTCAGATTATTGCAAATGTGTTCCTCTTCCCCCCTCAATTGCTCCCCTCCACCAGGTTCCCACCCCACCCTCTGTCCTTTCCCCACCCCCCATTGAACAATGCACATTTTAACAGGGGGCAGAGGGCTGGGTGAAACGGTGAAGGGATTAAGAAGTACAGATTGGGCCTTGGCCAGTGTGGCTCAGTAGGTTGGAGTAGATAGTCCCGTATACCAAAAGGTGCAGGCCCGTGGTGAGAATGATGTAGATGCTAGCTCTTTTTATTATATAGCAGATGACAGGGTGTAAAGTAACTGGGCTGGAAAATTGGGTAATAGTCAAATCTTGGAGGTTTTGTCTGCCAGAAGGAGTTTGAACTTCACATATGATTAATAAGGTGTCGAGAAAATATTTTAAGTGAGGAAATTACACGAGAGAGTGTGTGGTTTTGCTGCATCACTTTGGTTTCATGGAAGAAAGAACCGAAGGGAATGATGTGGACTCAGACCAATCAATAGGTTGTTGCATCAGTGGAGGCCTGAATTAAGATCATGTTAGCAAGGATGGGCAGGAAACGTGATTAATTAAATATTTAATAGCTTAAATCTTCAGAACTTTATTGATTAGGTACAAAGGCATAAAAAATTAATTCAAAATCTTAAGTAAAGCTAATGAGAAAATAATAATATCAGATGTGTTGACAGATGAGTATGTTAAGGAAACAAAATGCTTCATTTGTTTGTTACAACCCAGCGGCAAGATTAACAATATTGCCCAGCTGGCATGGCTAGGTGGTTGAGTGTCAACCTATGAAACAGAAGGTCATGGTTTGATTCCCAGTCAGGGCACAGGCCCAGGTTGCCTGCTCGATCCCCAGTGTGGGACTTGCAGGAGACAGCCGATCAAAGATTCTTTCCTATCATAAATGTTTCTGTCTCTCCCTCCCTTCCTCTCTGAAATCAATAAAAAATATATTTAAAAGAAAAGATTAATAATTTTACTATGGCCTAGCTAAGAAAGATACTTTTATTAACATTTTAAAATCCATCTTAATTGGTAATGATTTTGTAGATTTTCATAAATCATAGATCAAAGATTCTGTATCCATTCATAATTCCAAATATGTGTCTGATACCCTTCCTGATGTCTGTTGATATAAAGTGGTTGATTTGCTTCACTGATTTTATTGCTTTGTATCATATCACATTGCAGTCTCTCACTACACTAATAAAAGAGAAAGATGCAAATTGACCATAACTTCACAACACCCACCAGCCAATCAGGAGTGAGTATGCAAATTAACCCAACAAATATGGCACGTTAATTTGCATACACAGACGACATGGCAACAAGACATGTGCTCTGCACCACCCCAGCCACTCCGGCCCTCTGGGCAGCATGGGGAAGGCGGGAAGGTGGAAAGGCAACTCTAGGCTAGAGTGAAGGCAGTGATGGCAGCCAGGGGAAGGCAGGCCCATTCTTGCATGAATATTTGTGCACTGGGCCTCTAGTTGGTTTATAATCTCACTTGCCTATTGCACTTCAAAAATCTTTTCAGACAATCTTCCATTTGACTTGTGTCAGATAGATAATTTTACACTATATTTTTATGAACAAATGTGCATGCAAATTGTTAATGCGTATTCTGAGCTCCATAACATAGAGAATTACTTTGAAAATTTTGTCTTTTTATTTCTGTTATCCAAAATGATTTTGCTTATTGGAAGAAGAAAAGCTCATGGATCTCTGTATTTAAATTAATTCTGCTGTTCCATGAACTAGCACAAATGGAATACCTGCCCAACAGACATCTCAGAATATGACTATCACAATATGACCATTTTAATTGGTCAGCGCTGGTACCATTTTGATGGTTAAATGTTTTTAATATCATGCTTGCTTGCTTGCTTGTGTAGGATCTTCTCCACAGAAGAATTTTGTTTTAGCAAGAAGAGGTTTATTTTAACCAATTGTTTTATTGGATTCTTTAAGCCATAATCTGCCTGGAATCTTCAGACTTTTTCATTCATAAGTAAACTGTTATTACTAAAAAACACTGAGCCCTATCTAACAGTGGAGTAAGATGAGTAAAATCTACTTTTTGGCAAATAAATTTTCACCTTATACATTTTTTTAGAGAATCAAATATTTCTGCAATAACAGAAGTATTTATAGGTATATATTCCCTGATAGCTGCCCATATCCTATCTAATAAAGAGGGAATATGCTAATTGACCCTCACTCCATCACAAAGATGGAGGTGTCCACAGCCAATAAGGAGGGAATATGCTAATTGACTGTCACGCCCTCAAAGATGGCAGCACCCACAGCCACATGATGGCGGCACCTACTCCACTCAGCCCCGCTGGGATGGCAGGTGCATGGCAAGGCTGGGCCTGCCTGCCTCCAGAGTCCCCCAGTCCTCTCTGCTCCCCAGCTTCCCAGGGCCAGCCCCAGGCACAGGCAAGCCTCAGATGGTGGCTGCCCCACTGCCCAGGGCTGGCCCGAGGTGTAACCAGGATTGGCTGAGGCAGTGACAGCGGCAGAGGTGTGATGGGGCATCTCCTTCCCCTGGTCACTGGGTCGCCTCCTACCCTGAGGATTCCCGGATTGTGAGAGGAGGCAGGCCAGGCTGAGCCCACCCCACCTCGTCCAGTGCATGACTTTTCATGCACTGGGCCTCTAGTTATTTAAGAAAAGCTTAGAAAATTGATTTCTTAAGTGCAGATATAATTACATTGCTTTTAATATCTGGTATTTTGAAGTTCCTGTAAATACAGCCCCACTGGAGCTGGTAAAAAAAATAATTGTAATAAAGAATGTCAGTGCTCCCTTCTCAAACAGGTCTCTTCTTTCCTGCTTATACTAAGCTCTACAACCTTTCTCAAGATAAGGAGTTTCTAGTAGTTTTCCACTTAGAAAATCTATAATGCTACTATTTGTAATAGTCACTGTGGTATATTTAATGTTCCTTATATCCTGCAGGTATTCTTGGCGTCACCAGCTAAGGGAGTTTAAAAGTGAATACCGAGTTGTGGCGCTGGATTTGAGAGGCTATGGAGAAACAGACGCTCCCATTCATCGAGAGAATTACAAACTGGACTGTCTAATTACAGATATAAAGGATATTTTAGACTCCTTAGGTGGGTTACTAAAAGAATAGTATTAATTCTTTTTAAGGGACTATGATTCAAGAAATTGTGAAGTGCTAACCTAATTCCTTGGGAGGATGCCTTTTTCACCTACCTGGGTTGTTATCTGAATTCTGTTACTACGGTTTGGGGTTCCAGATCAAAATGCTTATTCAGGGAATTTAAAATAACACATCCAGAATAATTATTCACTCCACTAGCCAAAAATTACTTTCAAAATTTGGTTTGAAATGGATTTCAGAGAGGAAGGGAGAAGGAGAGAAACATTAATGATGAGAGAGAATCATTGCTTGGCTGCCCCCTGCACACCTCCTACTGAGGATGGAGCCTGGGCATGTGCCCTTGACCGGAATCGAACCCAGGACCCTTCAGTCTGCAGGCCGATGCTTTATCCACTAAGCCAAACCAGCCAAGGCCTAGCTAATATTTTTAGAGGAGAAAAAAATGAATGGGTCTGGGGGTATCAATGCAGTGTTACCCTTTAGCCTGATTACAATAAAATAGACTCCGAGACACAGATTTCCAACAGCCAGATTTCATTTATATTTTAGACCTGGCTTAAATTTGTCAACGTACAATTTTCTAGGCAAATCAATAATATAAACAAGATGTTCTTCTGTGTGTGTATGTGTGTGCATGTTAGTATAGTGGTGGGATGATGATGAAAAATACTTATTTGAAAAAATTAATTTGAAGTACTATAGAAATAAATTACAAATTAATCTTATCCATCTAAACAAAGAAAATCTTGTAGGAAATCACTACTAATCAGTATTTTAACCTAATTCAAGTAACTGTAATGATTACATGAAATGAAACTTGTATGTACTTAGTACAATAATTAAGACTTTCCACTAATTCAATTTGACCTTACAGTCCCAAGTTAGTGATGTTTTACTGTTTTGAGTTGTAACATTGAATTTGGAAAATTAGGGAGAAAAATAGATGCTTCTTTGAAATAAAGTTTTACTAGTTGGACATAGGTGGGACATTTAGGTTTTTACTGTAATTAGAAATTCTCCAACATTCAAAAATAACTCAAATAATCTTGTTTATGACCTAATTACATGGTAGGTTAATCACATGTAATAGTGGTGTCCAAACTATTTCAGATTAAAATATATTTATATTCCTTGGAGAGATTCTGAATTTGTACTAAGTCTAGAGTGGAGCTTGGGCACCTGAATTTTCTAAAGTTACCTGGGTGATGCAGACATACCTACAGGTTTTGAAAATACCAAACTCAGAGCCTACACAAAGTGGGTGAATAATTAGGGTAGAATAGTGGGAAGATTAGTTTCAGAAGTGAACCTATTTTATGTGAGTTAATGATGAGCCTACCTGTTTCTTTTCAATGATGTCAATATTTATTTCTTGATTACAGGTTATAGCAAATGTGTTCTTATTGGCCACGACTGGGGGGGCATGATTGCCTGGCTAATTGCCATCTGTTATCCTGAAATGGTGATGAAGCTTATTGTTATTAACTTCCCTCATCCAAATGTATTTACAGGTGAGCTTAAATTTCCATTATGAACTGCCAACACAACAATTCACTGTTGCCACTGACACTCTGGATTAAAAACAGCAAAATTTGCCAAAACCGATTTGGCTCAATGGATAGAGCATCAGCCTGCGGACTGAGGGGTCCCAGGTTCGATTCCGGTCAAGGGCATGTACCTTGGTTGCGGACACAGCCCCAATAGGGGGGTGTACAAGAGGCAGCTGATCGATGATTCTCTCTCATCGATTTTTCTAACTCTCTACCCCTCTCTCTTCCTTTCTGTAAAAAAATCAATAAAATATATTTTTTTAAAAATAAAAATAAAAACAGCAAAATTTAATTATCAACATTTAAAAAAATTACATAATATTTTAAAAATGAAATGGCTAAAATATGTTAGCACATGACAATGTGCTTTAAATATTTAATATTTAGAGTCTAAGAAACTATAGCTTCATGTTTGCTTGCATAATTTTATTTTTAGAAAATAATTTACTGCTAACTTGCAGAGGGTTAAAGGAGGAGATGCAGTAACACAACTTAGATTCTAAGTCTTAGGTGGTAATGGATTTTGACAGCCTAGAAGTAAGTTCTCCTTTCACCTGACAGCTTTCGCTATCAGGAATGGCAACATTTTTTAAAGCAGCAGTACTCAAATTTTGGTCTCAGGATTCCTTTATATCTTAAAAGTTATTAAAGACCCATTGCCCATTGAGCTTTTAGAAATTTAAAATGAGACTTTGAAAAATATATGTGTGAAATTATCTTAAAAAAAAAAAAAACACCAATAACTCCAGTACATGTTAACATAAAAAACAACAACATTTTAATGAAAACTAACTACATCTTTCAAAACAAAATTTTAGTGAGAAAATAGTGTCATTGTTTTACATATTTGCAAACCTCTTTAATTTTTGGCTTAATAAAAGGCAGATGGATTCTCAGATCTGCTTCTGCATTCAATCTGTTGCAATATGTTGTTTGAATTGAAGGATATGAAGAAATCTGGTCTCACACAGATTTATAATTGAAAAAGGCTGGAGTATTTTAATAGCCTTTTCAGAGAATTGTGGATTTTCTTCTTTACCACTACATCAAACTCAAAAATTGGTAGTCCCGTAAAGGTTAGTAACAATGTGAAATCTGATGTCAGATTAATGAACTTTTTGTGCTCGGTTATGTTAAAATCCATTGGTGTCTCTATCACTTTGAATGGATTTTTCATCATGCATTGGAAGATAGTGGTTGAGTTATTTAGATCTTCAATAATTTGAAACATTTCATTATATCTCATGTTCATTAATATTACCCCAATTTTTATTTTTTTTTTAATTAAAAAGCCATTAAGTGTTCCAAAACTGTCAAGCTCACAGCAGCAGATTCAAGTTTCCAAAATTCTGATTTTCAGTTGAAAGCTTGAATTTTATCTTTGGCAGCAAATACTGCTGATCGTTTCCCCTTAAGTGAAAGGCTTGCTCTGTTGATGTTCAAGGAGTCAACCTGCCACATGCCCCGGTCTGACTGTTAATAGTTTGTTAGTCCTTCTTTCAGGTGAAAATGATGTTCCGTAAAAAATGCAGCCAATTCCATTTATAGACTCAAACAGTTGCAAAGGTGCTTTTCCTTAAGAGGTGCTTTTCCGTTGGATTTGGGTGTGCAACAGAACTGCTTTGTGTGTACATTCTGTCTCATCACAATGTTAAAAGGACAAGTACTCAAAGGTGGGACTGTAATAAAGTTAATAATTTTTGCTGTTTCATCAAGGACATTCCTAAGTGAAACTGGCATTTAGTTTTATGTATTTGTTTGTTTTTGCCAGTGTGTGGTAGTGAAGAAAACGATGACTACTAGTATTGTTTCGTGACACTGCCTTGATTTGCGCACAGGTTCTACCTACCATGGCTTTTGGAACATCAGTGCAAATGGCAACCAAATGCGAAAAGCTAAATAATGTCTTAGTGTTGTTATGAAATTGTTTTGACCATCCAGATTCCTTAAAAGGGTCTTTGGGATCCACAGGGATATACATGGACTATGGTATATTTTGAAAACTTCTGTTATAAAGGGAATTCATAAAATCTTAAAACTGACTAAAGACCTGTGAACAATGGGTAGGAACATTTTTATTTGATTTTGGCAGAAATTGTAGTTTTGTCCTCTTTAACTAGACTTGTCAAATTTTCGGGGGTTCGGGTATTGCTACAACCCACAGCAACCTCTGGGAACAAAAAATTCAGAACAACGTATTTCTGTTTCTTCCTCAAAATTAAGCAGGTCAGGGAAAAGGAGACCATGACTACCTAAATATTATACATTATAAGGACGTGTAAGAGTCCAATTTTAGATTCATATCCAATTGACCTGTCTTCTGTTGAGGCAATAGGATGGATGTTTAGGACTCAAATATCAAACTGAGATATGTCATGTTTTTTCCCATTTCATTAATCAACAGAAGTCATACTACATCCTTGCTCAATTGATCAGGACCCAGAGTCAATATTGTTTTAGATAAACTGTAACTGGTCGTTTCAGCAAAAACTTGGAATATTGCTAAAACTGTTTTATCAATGGGATCAACCCCGGTCAATATGAAGTTGTCAATAGTATGCTTATAATTGTATTGATCGCTCTTTTTTTTATATATATTTTATTGATTTTTTTTACATTAAGGAAGGGAGAGGAATAGAGAGCTAGAAACATCGATGAGAGAAAAACATCGACCAGCTGCCTCCTGTATACATCCTATTGGGGATGTGCCTGCAATCAATGCTCTTGACCCACATCGAACCTGGGACCTTTCAGTCCACAGGCTGACACTATCCACTGAGTCAAATCTGTTAAAGGTGTATTGATATCTCTTAATGCAGAGCTGACAAAACCTTGTTCAATGATGACAATACTCCACTTATCCAAGAATATGCCCATTTAATATGCATGATTTCACTACTTTCCAAATTAAAACTTCAGTGTCTTCCCAAAGCATTTTTAAATCTTTATCACTGTTGGCACTATCTGCCTACACCTCTGCTTTTCTTTCTGACACATTTCATACCATTTCCTTCTTGTTCTCTACCCACCAGCCACCATAGCCTTTCTGCTTCTTGAATGTGCCAGGCCCAGGATCTACGTTCTGTTTCTGGATGCTCTTTCTAGATCTGTGCATGATTGCCCAACCATCACTCTTAATCAAATTACCTTGTTTTGTTTTCTTTATGGTATTGTTGCTATCAAAATGTTATTTTAAGTATTCATTATTTATTTATTGTGTGAGTTAATGAGAACATCTTTTGTCTTGTTCACTGCTAAATCCCCTCAAACACAGTAGCTATTCAAATATTCATTGAATGTATGAATCTTCTGAATTCATGAGTAAATTTATAGGGGTCACTTTCTTTTCTGTTGAGGTCAAATGGATAAGGCATTCAAATCAACCCAAAAGGAAAATCTTTTAAGCAGTTGAAAATGACCTCCCTTTGCATCCCTAGGGAAAGTGCTAGGTCACTGATAATGACCTTAAAAGAATGGCGGTGTTGTTTGAGTTTCCTGTTCTGTTCTGAGTCAAGACTTCACAAAGGGAAACTTCCTTCTTTCTTTGAAGTGCTATAAATTTTTCTAAATACCAGAAATACCCATAATAAAATATAAGAACTTAAAAATTGTTCCAAAGAGAAATTACACAGAAATTCTTATTTGTGAATGCTTTTAAGGGATTATCTCAAGGGTGAAATTGCCTTAAAAAATTAGATCTTTCAATAGTAACTACTTTTATATTCCTTGGAGAAGGTCTAACATGACATTTTAATTTCAGAATATATTTTACGACACCCTACCCAGCTGTTCAAATCCAGCTGTTATTACTTCTTCCAGATACCATGGTTCCCAGAATTTATGTTCTCAATAAATGATTTCAAGGTGAGTCATATGTAAGTGATAGATGTTAGCCAGAGCTTATTGAAGTGGTCATTTTGCAACATGTACACTATCAAATCATTATGTTGGACACCTGAAACTAACTGTTATAAGACAATTATACCTCAATTAACAAAAAAAAAAACAAAAAAATTTGGTGCACCAAGATGACAAAATTAGGAAGTTAAAAATAAAGATAGACTGAAACACTAAAAAAAGAAAAGAACTGGTCCTGCTTGTGTTGTTTTGCTGTATTTTAAATAATCATTTATTGAACATCTGTTATATTGTGTTAGGTATTTCCTCCTATGCAAAAAAAAAAATTTAATTAAACTCCATCTTAAGAAAGAAAAGTAGACAAAATATTAAAACTTAATAAATGCTTTTAAGGCTTCATTTATAGGCTTACTTATTTTTAAAATCTGTTTATGTATTTGAGTGCTCAGTTTTTGGGGGTTTTTTTTGAGAGCCTACAGCCTGTAGCCGTGGTTGGCAAACTGTGGCTCGCAAGCCACATGTGGCTCTTTGGCCCCTTGAGTGTGGCTCTTCCACAAAATACCATGGCCTGGGCAGGTCTATTTTGAAGAAGTGGAGTTAGAAGAAGTTTAAGTTTAAAAAATTTGGCTCTCAAAAGAAATCATTGTACTGTTGATATTTGGCTCTGTTGACTAATGAGTTTGCTGACCACTGGCCTATAGGAATACCTCTTTATAGAGAACAACCCATAGGGGAGATAAGGGAATATGAATGCCAGGTGAGAGAGTTTGACAGAAAAAGTGGAAGCCCTTGGAGGTAAACAAAACCCTGAAACAAAATAAGCAGTTATTGGGGTACCATGTACCCTGACACCAGGAGTCCTATTTCTTAGAAGGGCACTGACTGCTTCTTGTATGTCCAACATAGTAGTAAGAATTTAGGGAGGTTAAAAAAAAAAGAAGAAAAAAAAGACAATATTACTTTACCTGAAGAATACTTCTGCATATATCTCTGCTAATTATGACTTGTCTTTCCCACATAACTCCAATGCCATTAACAAACCTACCAAAATGAAAAACTGTCATATCATTTAATACCCATTTAAATTTCCTTACTGTCTCAGTTGTCTTTATACACTTTATTTGTTTGGATCAGAAACTAAACAAGATCCAAACATTGTATTTGGTTGTGATGGCTTTTAAAATTATCACAGTTCCTTATTTTTGTTTGTTTGTTTGTTTGTTTGTTTTTAAAACATAACAACACCCACCCCAGAAGATTAGACTATTTAAGATATTACTTAAGATTTAAATTTTAGTATACCAGATGTTTCCTGAATGATTTGTCTCCTCAGTCATTATCTATAGGGCTCTGAGAAGCCATAGGAATATGTAGGTACAAATTCAAGGGACAGGCTTATCTCCAATGTCGTGGAAAAGGATTGCCCGTCTTGGGGCAGAGCCTTATGCTTCCGTATGCCACCTGGACAGAGTCTGGAAGAGTAACCTCCCAAGGTATCCACATTGGGTTTCTGTTGTTTAACACAATTAAAAAAAAAAGTTTTTTTTTAAATTTATTTCAGAGAGAGGAAGGGAGAGAAAGAGATAAAGACATCAATGATGTGAGGGAATCATTAATCGGCTACCTGTAGCACACGCCACACTGAAGATTAAGACTGGAACCTGAACATGTGCCCTGACCAGGAATTGATTCATGTGACCTCCGGGCAACTTTGATTATTATTAAAGAAATTTAGTAATTTGTCCTGAGGAATGATCTACATTTTTAATTTGGCTGACTTCTTCAATATGGTGTTATTTTGCTAAACCTTGTTTTTTTTCTACTCTGCAGATGTTAGTGATCCAGAGGCTTGATTATACATTTAATTTGATAAGCATAGTTGTGTATTTCCTGTTATCACATCAGGGGAGTACATAATGTCTAGGTGTCTGTTGTAATTATGCTTACACTGAACAGTGGGCTCACAAGTTGTCAGCCTATCCAAAATTTCCAAGCAATCTTTCACTAAATAATTTTAGTAGAACTTGATCATCATTGCTTGGTACATTATTTCATTAGGGTTTGCAAATTGGTGGTTTTCTAATTCTATTATTCTTTCTGCTTTTATGAACTGGAATTCTATAAAGAAGAATTTTCTTTTCTTCTTTTAAAATAGATTTTTATTAACTTCAGAAAAGAAGGGAGAGGAAGAGAGAACTAGAAACATCAATGGTGAGAGAGAACCATTGATCCGATGCCTGCTGCACGCTCCCTACTTGGGATCGAGCCTGCAAACTTGGCATGTGCCCTTGACTGGGAATAGATCCAGCAACCTTTTGGTGCATGGGACAACACTCAGCCAACGGAGCCACACTGGCCAGGGCAGCTCCTGTGTCCTTTTGACAGAAGCACTTTAGTCAGTGATAGTTTGCTTTTTAATGATCTAGGTTTCTTTTATTTTCTGCCCCAGACCTGGAATCGGACATTTATCAAAGGAAGTGACCTATTAGTAGAAAATGGTATTTTAGAGACCACAATCTGAGTGTCCAACTGGGTTTTCATTGTTTGTAGATCTTTCCATTGGGCCAAATTTGGACATACCTATTTTTTAGAGACAAAAATAAAATAAAATAAAAATAAATCATGATTTCTTATTCATATTTTCAAAGCAAATTTAAGATTACATTGTTTTTTTCTAAACTTATATAAAACATTCAATATCAAATATTTATATGACTTTAAGTCAAAATTCTAAAACAAGGGACAGAGAGGTCTCACTTACATCTCTGTTTCCCCTGTTTCTCTGTTTCTACCCTTTCACATAGAAAACCATTTTAATTAGTTTTTGTTTCATCTTTTTATTCTTTCTTTTTAAAAATATAAGCAAATATTTATATATTAGTCTACCTCTTTTCTACTCAAGAGTATACCATAGGAAACAAAAAGTTTTAATCATTCTCTTTCCACTTAAATTAGGCTTTGAAACATCTGTTTACCAGCCATCGCACTGGCATTAGAAGAAAAGGTTGTCAATTAACCACGGAAGATCTTGAAGCTTATATTTATGTGTTTTCCCAGCCTGGAGCATTAACTGGTCCAATTAACCATTTCCGAAATATCTTCAGGTCAGTATAATATTTTCGGTTGAATAATATTTTCATTACCTAAATTTTTTTATTTTTTTATTTTTTTTAAATAAATTTTTATTGTTCATATTATTACAAATGTTCCTTTCCCCCCCTTCTCACCCCGCCCTCTGCCCTTTCCCCACCCCCCATTGTCCTCATCCATAGGTGCACAGTTTATGTTCAGTCTCTTCCCACATCCCCCTCTCCCCTTTTCCCCAAGAATAAACAGTTCACTCCCCTTCCATACCTCTGATTCTATTATATTCAACAGTTAATATTGTTCCTCAGATTTTCTTTTTTTTAGTTTCCTTGGTTTTTAGATTCACTTGTTGATAGCTATGTATTTGTTGTTCATAATTTTTATCTTTATTTACTTTCTCTTCTGAAAGAACCCCCTTCAGCAATTCATATAATTCTGGTTTGGTGCTAATGAACTCCTTTAGCTTTTTTTTATTAGTGAAGCTCTTTATCTGACCTTCGAATCTGAGTGATAGCTTTGCTGGATAGATTATCTTTGGCTGTAGGTTCTTGCTATTCATCACCTTGAATATTTCTTGCCATTCCTGTCTGGCCTGCATGGTTTCTGTTGAGAAATCAGCTGATAATCGTATAGGTGCTCCTTTATAGGTAACTACCTTCTTTGCTCTTGCTTCTTTTAATATTCTCTCTTTGTCTTTTGCTCTTGGAATCTTAATTATGATTTGTCTTGGTGTGGTCCTCTTTGGATTCCTTTTGTTTGGAGTTCTGTGCGCTTCCTGGACTTGTAAGTCTAATTCTTTCACCAGGTGGGGAAAGTTTTCTGTCACTATTTCTTTCAGTATGTTTTCGATATCTTGCTCTCTCTCATCTTCTGGGACCCCCATAATTCTGATGTTGGTTCGCTTGAAGTTGTCCCAGAGGTTTCTTTTTTTTTTTTTTTTTTATACTAAGTATTTTATTTGTATGCTGCTGCCAGTGTATATAAAATAATCATTCTTGTGAAATAGAAATTTATGAAAATTCAGAGAGGTGGATGTTAAGGACTGACAAAAGCAGAAGTTTGTATAGTATGGCACATGTTATAGGATAAGCTTTTTGTACAGGCTTCAGATTTAGCTCTCTTTGAATATTCTCCGGTTTAAGAAAAGTGGTTTGGAACACCTTCAAAATTCATTTTACTACAAAAAGGAACAAACTTTCTGGGGTCTGAAGGGATTGGTACTTGAAGATACTCCAGTCAACAGGGGGTCATGTTGAGCATTCTGCAGACAGAATTGTTTCAAATCTGCAGCTGCCTGGGAAACCTTCACGCGGTTGAGCCCAGCCTCCAGCCGGAGCTGCTGAACCACTTTCTTCATTGCGGTGACGCTGGAGGAACCAGACATGGTGCACACGAGAGCCGGGCTGACGGGTCGGAAGCGGGTGGCGGGTCGCGGGTCCGCGGGGGCCAGACGGCGGGGCCCCAGAGGTTTCTTACATTATCTTCAACTTTCTGGATTCTCTGGCCTTCTTGCGTCTGCGGAGGAGTGCCTTCTGGCTCTTTATGTTCCAAATCTTTGACTTGATTCTTGCAATCTTCCATTCTGTTTTTAGGACTCCATAAAATATTTTTTATTTCAGACAATGTATTCTTTATTTCTTGTTGATCCCTTATTATTTCTAGTTGATCCCTTTTCATATCCTCATAGGTCTTGTTTATTTTATCGGCCTTTTCTAGGAGATTCTTGAACAACCTTATAAGTGTGGTTTTGAACTTTATATCCAGTCACTTTTTGTCCTCCATTTCTTTCGTTTGTGATCTATTTGGTTTAGGCATTTTCGCAGGCAGCTTTCCTGATAGGGCGGGGTTTCAGGGTGGAGCCTACAGCCTTGGCTTCCGTCAGCCCCGCCCTATGCGACTCCTGAGACTCAGGGTCCTTCAGTACTTGTTGCGAGCGCCTCTGAGAGAAAGGTGCCCTCGATTTTCGCCTGCTGCCAAACTATCTATGCTCTCCCCCAATGAGTCCGGTATTGGGGTTCAGTTCAGTTGGTAGTGGGATTGGAGGTGGCGTTCAGAGCAGTCTGGAGCCCCTGTCTCCTTCCCGTCAGGGCAATCCCGCGGCACAGCCGGCCAGCCCTTCTCTGCACGCGCAGTGTGTGCGCCTCCGGGACCTCCTTTCACCACTTCCCCGGAGTCCTGCCTTACAGCCCGGCTCCCTATGGATGAGCCTGGGTCCCCGGGGTCTGACCTAGAATTGGGGTTCAGAGCAGTTGGAGCTGGGCTCAGCACAGTCGGAGCTTTTCTCTCCTTCTTGCTTGGGACCGCCAGCCAGGCACTCGGCCTCCCTCCTCTCCGGCTCTGTCCTCTCCACGCGCGCGCCATGTGTCTCCGTTCCTTGGGCTTTTACAGCTCCTCCGCGCTTCCTTCTGGTTTTCTCCTTGCTTCTTGTTGTAGAATTTTCAGTCAGTCGACTTTCCTGTAGTTCTGGGTAATGTCCATTTTATATTTTAGTTGTATTTTGTTGAAATTGTTGTGTGTGGCTGCGGCTAGTTGCCTACCCGAGCAGCCATCTTGGATTCTCCTCATTACCTAAATTTTTTTTTTAATTTTTTTTTTTAATTTTAATTTTATTTTATTTTCCCCCCTCCCTCCCTCCCAGCCATCCCCTCCCTCCCCAGAGCTTTATGTCCATTGGTTGTACTTATATGCATGTATACAAGTCCTTCAGTTGATCTATTATCTCCCCCAGATCCTCCTCCCCTCCCCGCTGAAATTTGACAAGCTGCTTGTTGCTTTACTGTCTCTGTATCTATCTTTTGGTTCATCAGTTTATAATGATCTTTATTATCCACAAATGAGTGAGGTCATGTGGTGTTTCTCTTTCATTGATTGGCTCATTTCACTCAGCATGATGTTCTCCAATTCCATCCAGGTTGCTGCAAATGCTGAGAATTCCTTCTTTTTTATGGCAGCATAGTATTCCATTGTGTAGATGTACCATAGTTTTTGGATCCAATCATCTGCTGACGGGCACCTAGGCTGTTTCCAAATTCTGGCTATTGTAGATTGTGCTGCTATGAACATAGGGGTGCATATATCCTTTCTGATTGGTGTTTCTGGTTTCTTGGGATATATTCCTAGGAGTGGGATTACTGGATCAAATGGGAGTTCCATTTTCAGTTTTTTGAGGAAATTCCACACTGTTCTCCACAGTGGTTGCACCAGCCTGCATTCCCACCAGCAGTGCACGAGGGTTCCTTTTTCTCCGCAACCTCGCCAACACTTGTCGTTTGTTGATTTGTTGATGTTGGCCATTCTGACAGGTGTGAGATGGTACCGCATTGTTGTTTTGATTTGCATCTCTCAGATAATTAGTGACTTTGAGCATGTTTTCATGTGCCTTTTGGCCTTCCTTCTGTCTTCTTTTGAAAATATTCTATTTAGGTCCATTGCCCATTTCTTAATTGGATCATTCACCTTCCTTTTATTTAGTTGTATCAGCTGTCTGTAGATGTTGGAGATTAAACCTTTATCAGTGGTGTTATTAGCAAATATGTTCTCCCACACCATGGGCTTTCTTGTTGTTTTGTTGATGGTTTCTTTTGCTGTAAAAAAGCTTTTTATTTTGATGTAGTCCCATTTGTTTATTTTCTCTTTAGCTTCCATTGCCCTAGGGGCAGTATCAGTGAAGAAGTTCTTTTGGCATACATCTGAGATTTTGCTGCCTGTGGATGCTTCTAGTATTTTTATGGTTTCCCGTCTGATGTTTAAGTCCTGCATCCATTTTGAGTTTATTTTTGTGTATGGTGTAAGTTGGTGATCTAGTTTCATTCTTTTGCATGTGTCTGCCCAATTTTCCCAACACCATTTATTGAAGAAACTGTCTTGACTCCATTGTATATTCATGCCTCCTTTGTCAAATATTAATTGAGCATAGTGACTCTTAATAAGGTGGGAGTACAAGGATCATACCTCAAAATAATAAAAACCATATATGATAAACCCACGGCCAACATTATACTCAATGGGCAAAAACTAAAACCTTTCCCTCTAAGAACAGGAACAAGACAGGGATGCCCACTCTTGCCACTCCTGTTTGACATAGTTCTGGAAGTACTAGCCATTGCAATTAGACAACAGGAGGAAATAAAAGGCATCCAAATTGGAAAAGAAGAAGTAAAGTTATCCTTATTTGCAGATGACATGATATTGTACATAAAAAACCCAAAAGACTCCATTAAAAAACTAATTGACTTAATAAATGAATTTGGCAATGTAGCAGGATACAAAATTAATGCCAAGAAATCCATGGCATTTCTATACACCAACAGTGAAACTACAGAAACAGAGACTAAAAAAGCAATTCCATTTACCATCGCACCAAAAAAATTAAGATACCTAGGAATAAATTTAACTAAGGAAGTAAAGGACCTATATGCAGAAAACTACACAACACTGAAAAAAGAGATAGAGGAAGATGGAAGGAGATGGAAGAATGTACCATGTTCATGGATTGGTAGAATCAACATCATCAAAATGTCCATACTTCCTAAAGCAATCTATAGGTTCAATGCACTCCCCATTAAAATACCAACGGCATATTTCACGGACCTAGAACGAACTCTCCAAAAGTTCATTTGGAACAATAAAAGACCCCGAATAGCCACAGCAATCCTGAGAAAGAAGGGTAAAGTAGGAGGGATCTCAATACCAGACTTCAAACTGTATTACAAAGCCACTGTTACCTAAATTTTTTTAATATGAAGTTCACCACTTATCAAATTCAAATGAAGTATTATGACTTTGTAAGTTGAATAATCTTTTTTATGGAAAATTTCAAAAACCTGGAAAAGTAGAACAAATAGTATAATGGATCCCAACATAGTTGTCACTAGTTTTATCCATAACTCTATTCACTTCATCTCTCCCTTTAGATTGTTTAAACAGATGTATATTTTAGTTATATTTTTCATGATTATTTATTCACTCAAGAAATATTTATTAAGCATTCTTTATGTTATGGCTATGCCAGAATTCAGAGTATAGTAATGAAAATAACTAGATAAGGTCCCTGATTTGACTAAACTTATAGTCAAGTAGGGAAAACAGCTATCGAGCAAATATTCACAGTAATAACTATATGGTTATAAACTAATATAAAAACTTTGAAAGAAAGTGACAAGAAATGATGCTTGAACAAATAAATAAAAGATGAGTTAAGTACTGACTAGACCAAGTTCAGGGTAGGGGAATTAGCCTCCCAGAGAAAGGAAACAGCTTGTCCCAAAACCGTGTGGGAAGATGGAGGGCTGTGGTTTTAAGTAACACAACGAGAGCCAATCTGGCTGAAGTATAGAAAGTGAGAGTGAGAAGAGGACAGTGGAATGAGGCTGAGTCTGAGAGATAGGCAGCACTGGTCACCCAAAGCCAAGTAGACCATTTAAGGACTTGATAGCCATGAAAGTGAAGCCAGTGAATGAGAGTTTCAAGCAGGAAAAAGAAACAATTCAATTTGTATTTGGATAAATTCACTCTTTGTGGAGAATGCATTGGAGGAATGAATGTGGGGAACAAGTAGCTTGAAGTACTCTGAAAACAGTGGAGATTGGGAAACTGGGTAGATTTAAGAGAGATATGGTGAAATAAGAGACGTAATTGATAGAGGCATATCATAGGTTGGGTGGGGAGATGAGGAGCTGGCAAAGATGGCTCCTGGATTTGTGGAATGAACAACTGTATGCATAATTGTGCCATTCATTAAACTAGAAAACACTAGAAGGGTGCTATAATACTTTTGAGGGGAAGGTCATAAATTTTATTGATCTTAAACTAGTTGAATCTGATTTGGTGCCTTAGATATTCAAATCGGTTGTTGGATACCAGGGTCTGGGAAGCAGGAGGGAATCTAGGATGAAAATAGATAAAATATTGGAGCTGTTGACAGAGACAACTGAAACGTTCATTGCAGAAGGTATTATCAAGGAGAAAGTATAGAGTAAAAGGTAAGACACGGGGGCTTGTCTATTTGGGTTTGAACTCCAGAAAGGAGAAAAAGGATTTCCATTGAGAATTGGGGACTACAGCCTGCCTTGAAAAGATTTAGGGGCTTGAATTTATGCTAGTTCCATAATATTGGAATTCTTAGGGAAAAATATTTTTTAATGTGATCGTAGATTATAATATTCTCTAGGAAGCCTGGCAGAAACAAACAAAAAGCTTCTCAGGAGAATACATCTCAACTCAGACTCACACTGTTCTCACAGATTAAGTCCCCTAAAGATGAGTTCATAATCCAAATACCAATCCACCATTGAGTTAGATCTAATGTGGCAGAACTCCTAATATTTCAAATTCTAGGACAGAGATTAAAAATCATGTTCAAATTATTGAATACATAAAAGAATAAAAAATGTGAGAAAAGAATAAGGTAATATCAAGAGAGACCAGAAAGAGCTGAAAGAGAACCAAAATGTAGCTGAGAGAGAGAAAAAAGTGA